AGCATTAGGTATTAGAAATATAAACTTAAGAAATTCAATAGGTATTGTTTTTCTAGAAGTTAAGCTTTTTTCTGAATACATGTCAAAGCTAGTGGGAGCATAAGAGTTATGCTTATATGATAATAATCATCATGATAGTGGGAGCATAAAAGTTGTGCTTTTATGATTATTATGGCAAGTATTGCAAGTTAGCAATATTAATTATAGAAAACAAGAGTTATACTTTGCAAAGTAGCAAGGGTTGAAAGGTTGTTTTGCTATAATTAAGGGAGAGGATATTATGCTTCATTTCAAATCTAAAGGCTTAGGTTGTGGAATGTTAATAAATTTAGTCAAGGATACATAGTGCGTTCTCAAAATTTCGATTATGATTATGGCATCTCTCTTCATAGTTCGAATTGTGAGAACGTGACACATTAAATATTATGGCAGAAGATTGATAAAGTATCGTATCTTTATGTAAGACATTATGCATCGTGTCGCATACGCTTCGGGTATAGGATCGATTGCAAGTGCTATAATATTTTACCATTCTAAAATTTTCCAACTGTCTAGCGCATCTAGAGGCAAAAAGGACAAGAATCGGTTTTGACTAAGATAATTAAACAGCTATCAAAGGACGATCCAAAGCTCATTGAGGATTGGTCGCTTGTGAGTAGTTGGAAGTATGGTATTGGATGGAACATATCGACATTATTATGAATAGATAAGATTATATTAAGAATGAGTTGTCATATGGCAAATATGGAAATGTTTCCATATTGGGAGTTGGATATTGAGAATCCGTATCTAGATTAGAAACTTTTATGCAAGAAAGGATGTTCAAAGGAATATACTTTGAGTGAGAGACATCCTATCTATAGAATTGTTTCTTATAGAGATTGGCCAAGTCTTGATGATTTTGAGCTATGACTTTACGAAAGAATCATTGCATAAAATGTTAGAATCTAGCATAAGTAACAAGAATTTGATATTCTTACACTTGTGATAGGGATTGGGAGTTGTGAAATGAGCATGATTGGAAATGTGTTCATTTGATCTATTTCACAAAGAAAGGACCACAGGTAAACATTGTGTGCATGCTAAGAGCATGGGACAAGTGTTGTAAAAAATTCAAGTAAGCAGTTGATTACCCGAAACAACAAATAATGAGTAATCGATATGGTGATAAATAAAATGTGTTTTATTTATACTCAAGGGTTTGGGACCATATAGGATTAGTATTATTCTTGTGTTTCACTTTGCATGTTTTGACTTCCTGAATAATTAATTTTTTTCAGAATAATCGAATTATTCGAACGGACCACAGTCGTTCATATGTTGGAAGTAGGTATGAATGAAGACTGTCGTGAATTGGGGTGTGGATTGTCTAAAGTGTATTAGACATAAGCAAATGTTTGCTGCAACGTTCATGAGTGCTTATGAATATGATTTGAGCATTGGATTAAACCCACGCTCACTTAGATCACTTCATGGATTTTATCACGAGTGATTGGTAAGACGATAATATCATATATTCTTGAAACCAAGATGTGTGAGTTGTATCTTGCGAGTCGGTTACACATTGATAATATGTAAACGCACCAGTAACTTGGTGTCATAAAACATATTGTTTTGTGTGATTCGGTAAGTGAGTGCAAGCAAGCATTGAATCAAAGTTTATTCATTCTTTTATCCAAAGTAGGATGAAAGCGATATATGTGGGCCCCTCGATGATTTAGTGATGACACCTAAGTGCTTGGCCAAGCCGGGACTAATTTGATGTGTTCAATTGTAGTCTTTTATCAGTCGTCATAAATCGGAAATCGGGAAACAACACATAGACAGAGAGAATGATTTAAATCCATGTCTCAGTCTATACGATATCTAGAATGGAGGAATATATGATCCCTTATCTAAAGTGTGCGTATCTGATAAGATCAGAGTTGACAGTGGCTTTTGAAAGCTACGATTGCTAATCAGGATCTGAGGTTATATGCAGAATAGTTGTTAGACTTATCCAAGTGGGAGACTATTGGATTAGTGTCTAAGTTCATAACTATTTTGGTATGTACTTGACCTGATTGTGCATGGTCCTTTTGGGTTGCCTTCACACTGGTGACTAGACAGGATGATTGCTGAGGAGAGAGGCTGGTTTATTATTAAGAATAATAAATTAAGGCATAAATATGATTTATTAATATATTATATGAATAATATATTAATTTGGAATCATATTATTAATTAGTATTTAATCAGAAATCAATTTAGAATTAATTTTGCGATTAAAGGAACTGACTGAAAGTGCAGGGGCTATTTTGTAATTATTCAGTAGTTGAGGCTTTGGGCCATTGGATCACCTTTATTAAGGCTTGAACGAAAATCCTAGAAGGATCTAGGAGTTTTCATCCAAGGGCTTAAGGAAAGGAGTCCATGGACTTGCTTAGGCCCTAAGCTAAGGGATTAGGGTTTACACCTTGAAACCCTAGTTAGCCTTAAGTATAAATAGCACCCTAAGGCACTAAGATTTCGTCCAACCCTTGGGGAACCCTAAAAGGAACAAAATATAGGGTAAGATACCCTTCTCTCCTCTCTCCCATATTCATCCTTTCACCTAGTGTGTTTGTGAGCCATTAGAGGTACTACACTTGTGGTACTTGCTTTCAAGAGCTAAGGAGATTCAAGGAACTAGTTGTTATTGCTATATAACAACAAAATGTATGTATTCTAATTTTATATATGAATTTCGAAAATTATAGTAGCATGCCAGGTTTCTTTTTGTGTTCATAAAGTTGTATAACTAATAGTGAAAATATAGATCCAATTCTAGGGTTGCATGCACACATAGGATTGTTTGTATAAAACCCAACAATAATGTCTTCCTTCATTGCTCGATACACCTCACCATTACACGCCCCAAAGTGTATTTCCTCTGGTACCCCTAATGCCTTTTTCACTGATTCCAAGTTCAAGAATTCATCTATCTTTGACAAGTCATCACATCTTTGCTTCCTCAAATCACAAGGTTGTTATACAACAATTGTTTCTATTACATATGAATTACACTTCTAGTTATGATTGTAGGATATATACAACATTAACGAAAATATAACAAGCTTAAATAATGAAATCATCGCATTTGTTTGCTGCTTCTTCACACTTTGGTACTATTTGAATCAAATTCATTGTAATATTTTTTTTGTAATTAACTGATTTTCCAAAGTGAAATCAACATCTTCCTTGAATTGGATTCCAGGTTTAGTGAGTCCATTTCCAATCACAAATCCCTATCCAATTGATCACAATTCCATGAGAAAAATTGAAAATCTTTAAAGTGATAGAAGATTGTAATCAACACCACCTGCAAAGGCGTCCCACGTGAATCCCATTAATAAATTAAATAAAGGCATTTGTAGAACTGAATATTCAAAGCGAATTCTACTTTCCATTGTAAGCTAGGTAGGAAAGCACTTTATTTCTTTAAGACAAGTGGTGAAGAATTGAAAATCGATTTCAGATTTCAACTTCAGTTTCGGAAAAATCGATTTCATAGATTGAGCAGAAAAACTTACTAATTTTCCAGAGGAGGGGAGGCGTTGGCGGAAAGGCAGCGACTGTCGCTAGAGAGAAACGTTGAATCCCAAATAAAGGGAAAAAACACGAGTGTGTTACCTGTTGAAGATGAATGATGGTGGTTGATGGTGTTGATCGGCGAACGGGCAAGCTCCAGCCTCTTATCTTCTTCAATCATCGGCATCAGTTAGGTTGAAAAAGAATGGATGGATCGGTGATAAAGAAGCAGTAACGGTTTCAAGGGATTTAAAGGAAAACAATCCAATATTTTAGGGATTAATTAAAAAAAATTAATTAACAAAATTAATTAATAGGTAAGATTATATATCCTTATTTAAGTTTTTGAAATGATTGACCTACATTTATGCATACAATAACACAATACTTACTTTAAACACCTAACCTATCTCTCTCTCTCTCTCTCTCTCTCTCTCTCTATATATATATATATATATATATATATATATATATATGTGTGTGTATATATAAACCCGATCAATATCCTTCCAATGAGGTCCATCAACCTTCCATGTTGCTATTCACCTCAAATAAAGGTTTTTCCCAGCTTCCAAAGTGATCCCTTGATGATTAATAATAGTCCACCTAGCAGTTGAGGGGTTGATTCCCTTGAGAAATGATGCCGATATTACCAAATGTTGTATGTTATAAGATAAGATGTTACATTTTGTACAATTAATTATCCAAAATGTTTTGTGCAATGAAATAAGGGATATATCTTACCGTAGAGTCCAACCACCCAGATCGTTTATAATGTTTATGTTCCAAAAAAAGCGTCATCTGGCTCTTTCCCCATAATTTCCAAAATTCCTCATGAGTAGGCATGTAATGGTCCAATAGTAATTGTATGTTCTCTAAAGTACCGTCCTTCGGTTTTCGTCCTTTTTTGTTCTTCACTAGTTCTGTGGACGGAACCTATAAAATCAAAATGTTAATTAAATTTTAATGACAATATAATTTATAAATAGAAAGTAATTATTTAATTCATGTACTTAAGGCTACCTAAAATACTTTGATTTCATCTTCCCCTTCTTTTCCAATGTAACTTTTACCGGTGTAACTGTCTTATCGTTAATTTCAACAACAATAGGTGGCGACTCCACATACATTGTAGGTGACTTCAGATCCAAACCACAAAAAATGTTTCTTGGCCATCCACATTATCGATATCATTCACACCAAATTGTTTCGTTTTCTCATTTGTCAATTTTCTCGTAAACTACTCGATTCTGGTTGCCAAATGATTAACAACACCCATTAACTTGTCTATTTTACCGTCTTGTGAGGTGTTGTGGTATGCTCTACGAACATGAGAGAGTGAGATGATGTAATCTGCTTGTTGAAACTGAGATGGTTGAGGTGATGGAGACCGTAGTTTTTTTTTTTTTTTTTTTTTTTTTTTTTTTTTTTTTGGGGGGGGGGGGGGAGGTCTATTGCATCGGTGCAGACTCCATTCCGTGCAAAGTCCAAGTCAGATAACGCGAATGGAATGGAAATTCGATCTCAAAATCCGTTGCTTCAACATCATGTGGATTATTTTTTCCTACAAAATAAAAACATTAACTTTAACTACATAGAAAATTTGAGATTTTTTACTATATATAACTTTATAAGGAATGTATAACTATACCAGTGACATGTCTAATATACATAAACATTGCTCGATAGTTAATTGTCTATTTATTTTGCATGCCGTCATTCTTGGAAATTCATTTGCAGTGTGATGCACATACGTCAAAGCTTATGCATATGTCTCCAAAATCCATACCTTGTATAACTTTAACATGTTATGATTTGTTGATGATTATAAACACTTTAAAATGTGTAATATTAATTGCACATAAAACTTACCTTAAATGGAAGGTGAAGACTGGTCACTGTATACTTCGACGTCTTCACGGAACCCACATTGGCTTGATCTCGTAAATATCTGTAGATTTTCGCAACTAGAGTCGTTGTGTTTCACTATACCTCCATAGAAACGTACCGCATGCAAACCTGTCGTACTTATTATAATTAATATAAATCATCTTGTAGTTATAAATAAATAGTAAATTTACTACATGTTCCAATTATATAGACTCTCACCGAGCTTATACATTAACGACGGAATGCACGTATTTGTATCACATCCTATGAGACCTTTCAACAAAAACAAGATATTCATAAGCATTACCGCATCATCATCACTACCGATTTCGTAATGCAGATTTTGTGTTGGGTTTTGTATTGATTACATCAACATAAGGTCCATATCTCCAACCGTTAATCAAATAAAATTCGGTCTCACCATATTCCACCACCCTGCCTTGTAACTCGAACTGAAACCTCCTAGCCCTGGGTACCAGCACATCATGAACCTCATGCAACATCATCAAAGGACAGAGCATTGGATCACTATTCAGGGTGGGCATACTAATGAAGATCCCAAATGGTGTCTCTTGAAATAATTCATGTCGCCTACTATTTAGTTTTGGAATAAACTTCCTCAACACTGTCTCCACCACCCCTTTAAAAGTTAATTATGCAGGTCATCCACGCATACTATGCTATAAAAGATAACATATATATGGCAAAATATAAAAAAAAATAAGACTGAAATGTCATTTTTTAACTACTTCGCATTTTAATGGAGTATGTAACTCAAAATCGAAAAAAATTAATAATACCAAAATCTACACACAAAATCAAAATCAAAAAAGAAAATTAGGAATTCTGCAAAGATGAACGTCAATCTGTTGTGGGGGCTCTGTAGATCTGTTCTTGAGCTGCACACCTCTGCGGATCCATTTAATCCTCTAGGAGTGATGCACAGTACTGCGGAAATGACATGACACAACTAAATGGCAAAAAAAAAATTGTGCCTACAATAGTTCTGCAAAGGTGGCTCTGCGGATCCATTGTATACCTCTGCGGATCGCTATAATCCTCCGAGGAACCATCGAAACCGGGGTAAAATCGGAAATTGCCAAAACCAACCTCATTCCTAATACCCTAACTGTGGAAAGAGGAAGGAGGCGACTCGAAGACACTGAATCGATCATTCTAATGGTTCATTGATCGCGGATTGTGGAACTCGTGGTCATTTTCCATGTTGTTATTCCTTAAAACACCCCAACCCCCCCCCCCCCCCCCCCCCCAACTTTTGGTTATTTCATGAATTTTCTATGTTGTTATTGACTTTTACTTCTCATTTTCAAATTATGGACTAAGTATACCCAAACAACTAAGAAGCCATGTCTTTGTGTGAAATTCTCAAAAAAAAAAAAAAAAAAAAAAAAAAGAGTAAAGTCAAGGTAGGTGGAGAAAGATTATTTGAGAGGTGGTATGGAGGAATTGTGTCTTTAATAGGCTACTTGTGTCCTTAGAAAAAATGACCAAGTTCTCTGTTTTAACCTTTAACATGAGAAACAAATTATATTGGTCAATTATATACAAAATTTTGGACTTTTATGCATCGTTTTTTTTAAATTCATACAAATTGCATACTTACACGTATGCACACACATTTATTTACAATTAAAGTAAGGTCACAACTCACAACAGCAATGGAGGTTGAGGTTCTCCTGTCAGTTTCCATTGCCTTCTGCTGACGTTTTTTTTAGAATAGTCCCATTACAAAAGATACTCATTTACGATTTTGTTATAAATAATTATCACTATATATTTCCAAAACTACTAAATTTATATAAAATTTGTTACCACTCTATTGTTTCTACTCTCCAATTAAGTCATTGTACTTATGCTATATGTCTCAGTTTGAATTTAAACTATAAGTTAATATATTAGTATATTTATTACTGGATTTGTTTTTTGCTTTTTTGTTATTATTTTCTTTTACTTGATATCGAAATGGTGAAATAAAGTTCATTTCTTCTTTGAGCTTGAACATGAAGTTAAATTGAGTGGTCAAAGAAGTCAACTATGTTTCATCAGCAGTGATACATATTACATAGATACATTCCATATGGTTTGACTTATATATATTTGATTTCATCGATTAGTTTTGTTACTATTTTAGGCAAGTAGTTTCTTTTTAAGCTGAAAAAAGCAATTCGTTATGATCTTATACCCACATCCACACGCTCACTTAGATCCTTAAAAAAGAGTAATGACGTCATATTCTCATTATTATTATTATAATTATTATTATTTTATCAATTCGTGTCATAGTTTATTCTTTTTTACACTTTTATGTTTGTACTATTTCACAACAATATTGGAACATACTTATTTGAATAATCACTCAACAGATTGAGAATCTTATATTTATTGGCATATAATGAGTCATATATATTATATGGTATTATGTGAAGAGCAAGTTGACACAAGGGGAAGAAAATCCAAGAACCTAGTTGATTTTCCAAAATAGGAAAAAAAAAAAACACAAATACTCATTTCTTTTAAATTGAAGAATATAATAAATAATAAAATAAAAAATAAAAAAGGAAACAGGTAGCCAGCTATTTATATCCTTCATGAGACACTGCCGATTTCTGCCTTTGCATTGCTTTTTCTTTCAGAAAGCCAAACTCAACTCAAGTTCACAATCAAAACCCTTTTTTTCCAATTTCCTAAAAAAAAAAAAAAAAAAAACTTTTCCCAAAAAAAGAATTTAAAATATATTTATATGTATATATAGATATATCTATGTATATATAGATGAGAGGTAGATTATGGCTAAAAAAGGGAGGAGATCAATGGAAACAGAGAAAGTTGATGAAGCTAAAGAAGAGCTCCAACCACGTGTATCAGGTGTTTACATCCGTAGCCTTGTGAAACACTTAACCACCAACGACGGTGGTGGTGGTGGTGGTGGTGGTGGATCGCCGGAAAATGAGAAACATTTTAGTGAAATTAATAATAACACCCAAAAACCACAAAAGCCGAAAAAACAAGTCAGAAGAAGACTTCACACAACTAGACCTTATCAAGAACGACTCCTAAACATGGCAGAAGCCAGAAGAGAAATTGTCGCCGCCCTTAAGTTTCACAGAGCTTCCATGAAACAACAAGAGGCCGCCGGTGGTGCCGCCACTAACCACCACCAACCGCCGCCAGTACAAGAGAAAAAACCAAAATCCCGACGAATTCTCAGCCTTTATCCTTCTACCACCACGGACGGTGGTGCCGCCACCGCCACCGCCACCGCTGCCAATTTTTATTGGCCTATCTCCGCCACTGCACCGCCACTGCCGCCAGCGTACCATGACAGCTTAAATTTATTTCTTCCGAGTCAAACATTGGGATTGAATTTAAATTTTCAGAATTTTGAAAATTTAGACACCCGTTTTTATCACACACCATTGTCATCATCTTCAACTTCCTCAAATCCGGTGGCCGGAAAACGGAAGGAGACGCCGGAAAGTTCCTCAGGCGGGTTGCATCATGCGATGGGAGATGAGGAGATGGAGGAGATACGGTCGTTGGGTGAGAAACACCAGATTGAGTGGAATGACACCATTAATTTGATGACGTCAGCAAGGTGGTGTAGTTTCTTGAAGAACATGGAAATGGAAGAAGATGAAGGAGATGAGTTTTATGGATTTGATCAAGTTATGAAGTTTCCACCATGGTTGATGAATGGAAATGAGAGCTCTTGTTTGCAAGATCTTAATTTTTCTAATGCGTACATGCAAGATCCTGCTTTACCTTGGTAAGATTCTTCATTTATTTCTTTGATTTTTTTCATTTTCATATATTTGTAGAAATTATTAAATTTATTAAGTGTAAGGAAATTGGAAATGTTTTATGTTGGTATTTACTATTTTCTCCGTACAATAGTAATGTTACATTTAAATCAAGAAACAACTAATTTTACAACATGAAATTTGTTGCTATTTGAGATAATTACGTTGCTAAATCCGTTTTAACCATTTTAGTTTAGGTTAAATTTAAGAAATAACAATGTTGTACTTCCATTGATTTGTTTATATAGCATCATACTTTTATTTCTTACTATTATAAGTTATAGCAATAACATCCAAATACAAATAAAATAATTTTCAGTACTATAATTGGATAGAGTTCTTAAAATACAATCTCCTAATAAGAAAAAAAAAAAAATCGAAACTACAATCCTATAATTGCATAGATTTTTCAAGGTATAGTGTTGTGATAAGAAAAAACAAAAATTGAAAGTACAATGCTATAATTAAGTTGATTTTTTGAAGTATAATATCAGAATTGAAAGAACAATGCTATAATTTGAGAGATTTCTTAAAGTATAATGTCACCACTTGTGATAAGGAAAAAATAAATGTAAAATGTTATAATTGGGTATAATTTGAAGTATAATATCCTAATAAGAGAAAAAAAAAAATGTACAATGATGTGACATAAATAAATGAAAGTAGGATACTATTTCTTATATTAAGCAATTTTAGTTGTAGATGTTTGTTGGTGCTGTTACTGTTGTTTTAGCAAAAGACTATTGCAATCTCTGAATTGTTGCAGGATGAGACTTTAAAACAATGGCAGTGAGACCACATAGGTCCCCACCTCCATATCTATAAATGTCTTTTTTACATTTTTATTTTCACATTGAACTTTTGTTTTTTTTATTACGTGTGGAAATTGCAACAATTTTTATAATTGTGTACAATGAAATGTTTGAATTTTAATTTTACAGGTTGACTAATGATTAATGGTTTTAATTTTTTTTTTTTTATATATATCTGATTTTGAATTTGAAAAATGCAGCATGGATATAGGTGAAATTGAAGGAATGGATGGGGAGTGGCTAGCCTGAAAAAAGATTGATTGCGTTTTTTGAAAAATCAATTTGTGGCTGAATTTTTGAACTATTTTTGTTTTGTTTTTTATTACTTTTTTCAAAATTTTGTTGTACTTTTATTTTTCTATGTAATAATGATTGAAAGTAATATGCGATATGAGAAAATTAAAACAGAAAATATATAGAGATGAATAAATTGGAACTGTTGTTTAGCGAAGGAAGCCATATATATGGAAAGGGTTTATATGCAATTTTTGGTACTTTATATTTTCAATAGGGTGGATAAAAAAACACCTATTTATATTGAATTTTTATGATAGCATTGTATATTTATTTCTTTTATTAAAACATTATATATATATATATATATATATATATATATATATATATATATATATATATATATATAAAATTTCGAAAAATAAAATGTAATTTTTACAGTTATAAGCTTATAATTCAATGGATCTTTGAATTAAAGTTAATGTCCTAAATTGTGAATATATAGATAATTTGGAATGCAATGTAATAATAAGAAAAAAAAAAGATGAAAGAACATATTTTAATATAAGTAAATAAAAATATGCTATTATAAGATACAAATAAATGAACGTATCTTGTCATTGTTGTTGGTCCATTTTGTCATGACATTGAAAAACCACTTGTTCATGGTGAGTTATGACCGCAATAATAAAGGAATCGCAAATTTAGAAGTTTATTTATTTATTATTTTCTACCACGGTATCTTGTTATATATCTATTTAAATAAAATAAAACAAAAACATTTTGTACAAATGACATGATTTACATTAATGTTTGATATAGTTTAACGAAAATTAACTCAGTATCCATATATGAAATTTTATAAGATGTTGAACGATTCTATGATTATCACAAAGTCCAGATAAACTTATATGCATATCAAGTTGTCAACTGTTGTCAAGTGTTGCACACCCAATGCCTTTCTGTGTAACATTCATTGGACCTTCAATAAACTTTGCCATAGAATATAAAGCTTTATAAGTCAATCTAAAAGTTACAAGATAAAATAAATGAAACACACACATATATATATATATACATATGAGATAGGGAATATACATTATAATCCTACATAACCTTAAGTACTAAACCTCTAAATTATACAGTTTTATCTTAGTAAATATAATCGATTCAGTTTTTACTTGGTAAATATATAATTCCCCATTGCATTTCTTTCTTTTATTATCGTTTAACCATCCATATTTTATTTCCTCCATTATCGTTTATTACTTCACATCAGTAAACATTACGGTTTTTCATCATCACGAA